ACCATGTGTTACTAATAACTGCTTCATCACTACATTCAATAACCCATGAAATATTACCATATGTTATTAATAACTGTTTCATCACTACATTCAATAACCCATGAAATATTACCATATGTTATTAATAACTGTTTCATCACTACATTCAATAACCCATGAAATATTACCATATGTTATTAATAACTGTTTCATCACTCCATGTAACATAAAATAATGTAACGACCGACAAACAAGTCAACGTGTCGGGCTACAAATCCAAGGTTCGTGCTAAGATGCCACTGAACGCATTTTATACTTTCAGCTGTGAGTGTGTTATGAGGGTGATAGTGAATATTCTTACTGGTTGAAAACCAGATAAAGTCCGTGTAGCGGCGGGTGCTGCTGACTGGGTGCCTTCTCTCTAGTCAGTAGTTAAAAATTAGGAGGTTAACCCTAGTACCGCCTTTCACCTTGAAAGTACCAGCTAGAAACTTTAATTTTAAGACTACAAATTAACATTTATACAAGGCTGTAACTTTAGTTAAAAACAGTAATGTAAATAGTGAGATCAAATATCAAGCAATTTTTAACCTCACCTAACACAAAGTAAGCTTGTAATTAATCAACGATGGCCTCCTCAGTGATTTGTTTCTTATGTAAAGAAATTAAACTTTGATTAACACTAATCTTATGTGAAATTAATCCTTCTTTTTCAGTGATTAAAGTTGGATTGACACCATTCTTATGTGGGGTTCATCCTTATTTTTCAATGATTAAATTTGGATTAAAACCATTCTTATGTGGAGTTCATCCTTATTGTTTAATGATTAAATTTGGATTGACACCATTCTTATGTGGAGTTCATCCTTATTATTTAATGATTAAATTTGGATTGACACCATTTATATGTGGAGTTCATCTTTATTTATCAATGGATAAATTTGGATTGACACCATTCTTATGTGGAGTTCATTCTTATTGTTTAATGATTAAATTTGGATTCAAACCATTCTTATGTGGAGTTCATCTTTATTTTTCAATGATTAAATTTCGATTCACACCATTCTTATATGGAGTTCATCCTTATTGTTTAATGATTAAATTTTGATTCACACCATTCTTATGTGGAGTTCATCCTTATTGTTTAATGATTAAATTTGGATTCAAACCATTCTTATGTGGAGTTCATCCTTATTGTTTAATGATTAAATTTGGATTCAAACCATTCTTATGTGGAGTTCATCCTTATTTTTCAATGATTAAATTTGGATTGACACCATTCTTATGTGGAGTTCATCCTTTTTTTCAGTGATTAAATTTGGATTGACACCATTCTTATGTGGAGTTCATCCTTATTGTTTAATGGTTAAATTTGGATTGACACCATTCTTATGTGGAGTTCATCCTTATTGTTTAATGATTAAATTTGGATTCAAACCATTCTTATGTGGAGTTCATCTTTATTTTTCAATGATTAAATTTGGATTGACACCATTCTTATATGGAGTTCATCCTTCTTTTTCAGTGATTAAATTTGGATTGACATTATTCTTCAGTGCAGTTGATCCACGTTTCTTTGTGATTAAATTTGGATTAACATCACATTAAAAGTATACTAATTAATTTTGTCATACAACAAAAATATCTTTTTAATAACCAAAGTATTTGAAGTGTGGTACTTTTATTATAATTCTTATTTTTCCTTCTACACTAGTGTGGTTATTATAATTCTGTCAATATTCCAACAGTAATTGTTTAATTTTAAAAGTTAATGAATGCACGTGAACATCGTTATTGAAATGTTCGTGGTAGGTTTTCTTTCATTACTACTATTTATTCAGAAGCCTACAGTACCATTATCAGATAGAGGAATATACGGTGGATTTGAAAAGTTAACTCTATCAAACTATGTCCTCGTTTAGGGTTAAGACTTCATTCTGGCATCTAAATATACCACAGGGGTAGGTTTAAAATAGGGTTAACACTTCATTCTGGCACCTAAATATACCACAGGGGTAGGTTTAAAATAGGGTTAACACTTGATTCTGGCATCTAAGCATACCACAAGTTTAAAATAATAGTGGTCTGTTCTCTGTTGACCTCATTGTCCGTCTCTGCTCCTGGAATGACTCTTATCAGGACTGACCTAATTAAACTTGGAGAATTCTGGCCACACGTGAATGTCGTGCCGATAATTTGCTTTCACTTCATTGTTATTTCTTGGGCCACATTGTAATCTAAACATCTAGACCAAGTAGATATGCGTTACTTCCGCTTATTCTCGTACCAGGTTCTCAACAACTATTATTATATGACCTCTAACGACCAATGGCCTTAAATCAAATGACCATACAAGGACAGATGACCCACTCACTCGCTAATGTCACTTAGGCTTAACACCAGTTTACCTTGACCATCCACAACTAACATATTTTGTAAGTTCCACAATTTATCCTGGAACTCATCCATTATTTCTTTCACTAATATATCTAGTTATAAGAGTGACTGTCAAATCTCACCATTCCATTAGAATAACCCGCGGGTTGGTGGTTGGAGGTGGCCTTCTCACTAATCGATCACATCAAAATTAGGGAAGGCTTGGGCAGATAACCCTCGAGAAAATCAACAAACAGTAATATCTGTTTTATTTCCAATAAAATTAAAAATTTTCCTAAGCCTAACTGATCAACTTTAATTAACAGAGAAGACCCAAGATTTATCCAACAATGTTATAGTATTTAATGTCCGGTACATAACTCCATTTTAAAATAACTTTAAGAATGGTTTGGATTCGATCATTTAATTATTTCTTCAATTTCAAAATTTATTGTGAAGCTAATTTTCTGTTTAACTGATTTATCGGTATTTTAAACAAAAAATACTTTTCTCACAGTGAAGTTACAAAGCTTCTTATTCACAGATTATGGAACTATATGTAGCGTAATGCTTATTCTTCACGGACTACATGGTGACAGAGCTACATGTAGTACAAACCATATTCTACACAGGTGACAGAGCTACATGTGGTACAAACCATATTCTACACAGGTGACAGAGCTACATGTAGTATAAACCATATTCTACACAGGTGACAGAGCTACATGTAGTACAAACCATATTCTACACAGGTGACAGAGCTACATGTAGTACAAACCATATTCTACACAGGTGACAGAGCTACATGTAGTACAAACCATATTCTACACAGGTGACAG